AATAAGATTCGATATATATAGTTTCATTTTCTTATACATCTGGTAGCAATCATGACGAGTATTTATTGGCAGTCGTTGATTCTTCAGAATTATCCATTTTAACAAGGTTACATGTGTTTTGTCTAAAATTTCCATAAGGAGAAATATCGATATAATAAAGCAAAGAAAAAAAATTCAGAATTGGTCGTTATCGGACATTTTGAGAGATAAAAATTTAAAAGGTATAGGACAGCCAACAGATTTTTCATCTCGTGTTTTCTTTTGCTATATCTTTTTTCAAACTTTCTGGAAATTATTCGAATATCGCTTCATTTTTATGTTGCATGCTAAACAAAGGATATACATATAATAAGCTACGTAGACACATAGACACAAACAGGTAAGATGCACTAGCGCCTCTATCAATTATTCCGTTGGACGTGAGATGTGTTTCATCCTCGCACACAATACACAAAATATTATGACTTCATCAGCGATAGTTTGTCGATTAATACGAGAATCTTAGCATAGACGGTCGAACAACTCTAATTTATGGGAGACTTAAAATTTCTTTTCCAACAATGATGACTGGATAACATGAAAGATGAAAAGAAATGTTTTAGGTTCCTGATCATAACTTTCATTAAAAAGATATTTCAGCATTCACCAATGTCCATGTCTATAAATTGATGAAAAAAAAAATTTATTGTAGTATGAAAGTTTATTAAAAAGTGGTCAACAAAAGCATAACAAAGCTTAAACCTTGGCTAAAGCAAATAAAAAGGATCATAAGTTAAAAGGAAAACTACTATTCATGAACAAAACAAGCTTTTAAATTTTGTTTTCTTGTTGAAATAAAATTAGAGCAGATGCGATTGAAATTCAATTAATCTAATTTTTCTTTGTGAATATGAGAAATAACAACATGGTTAAAACGTTATTGTGCCATTATTAATCTTAAATATGTCTTCATTTTATTCATAACACTAAAAGATCTTTCAGTTGTAGCCATTGTAAGAGGAACTTTTAAATATAAATGCAATAATGTGCAATATTCATGAGATATAATTTTTCCAACCAATTGTACATTGAATAGAACAGAAATAATTTGAATTTTTAAACTTTTTCTTCAAATGTAAACTCTTTTGTAAGTTAATAGCTGAAAAACATTTCGAGAGCATATTCATAGTCGAAAAATGGTTTTCGATCAGTAAAATGAATTAAATGTGGAGTTAATGAAATAATTATGACATTAGTGAATTTAATGGCTGATTAGTATATTACTTAAACGATCAGTTATTAATTAATTTGATTTCTAAATAAATTTAAAAAACAGTAAATATAATTTATATCCAATACATTATATCAAAGGATCAGTATAACAATTGAAATGATTATAAAGTACATCACTTTTTTTTTCTTTTTCTTTCTCTTCACCTATTCTATATGTATAATAATAGTTTTAACCTAGTTTTTTTAACCTACCTATTTGCTAAATAAGACGTGAGTTGTTCAGTACGAGTTCGAATCTAAATGCAGAGCTATCTCTTTATTATTACTTCAAAAATAAACGAAACAGACGGTTTGCATGTTGAAATGGCAAAAAAACAAAATGGTAAATTTTATATAAATTATATATTACAAATTTCAAGGCACCCATGCTGAAATACGAAAAAAGCAAAAGGATTAAATTATAAATCAATTATACATTACAAATTCCAAGGCATCCATGCTAAAATAGCAAAAGAAAGAAACGAATGATTTGTATAAAGATTAGAATTTATTAATTCGATGACACTCATATTAAAATAATAAAAAAGGAAAACTTAAATTTTACATAAGTTACCATCCACATAAAACTTAATTTTTTCCTCGTTCCTTATTTTCAGATGATTACTCTCGAACTTATCAATTAATATTTATATGAAATAATATCTTTTCTATTTTTGCAATTTTAACATCCGCATCTTCCAATCTATAGATTATAATCGACGTAAAATTTAATCTTCCCCTTTTTTGACATGTTACGATGAGTGCCTTCGAATTTGTAAGATATAATTTACAGAAAATTTCGTCTTTTCCTTTTTTGTTATTTGAACATGAGTGCCTTCAAACTTATACATTATAATCGACGTAAATGTTAATCTTTTCGTGTATTGTTATTTTAAGATTAGTGTGGTGCAATTGCTAAATTCTAATTTATACAGAATTTCATCTGTTCCTTTTAGACTATTTTAAGCTGAATCCTTTCAAAATTATGAATTCGAGTTTATATACAATTTAATCTTTATGCTTTTTTCTTCTTAGAATATGAGTGTCATCGCATTGATAAATTGTAATCTATATAAAATATATTGGTTTCTTTTTTTTTCTATTTTAACATGGATGTCTTCCAATTCATCAATTACGATTTATATAATATTTAATCTTTTCGATTTTTTCCTATTTCAGCATGGGTGCCTTGAAATTTGTAATATATAATTTATAGAAAATTTACCATTTTGTTTTTTTGCCATTTCAACATGCAAACCGTCTGTTTCGTTTATTTTTGAAGTAATAATAAAGAGGTAGCTCTGCATTTAGATTCGAACTCGTACTAAACAACTCACGTCGTATTTAGCAAATAGGAGGTTAAAAGAACTAGGTTAAAACTATTATTATACATATAGAATAGGTGAAGAGAAAGAAAAAGAAAAAAAAAATGATGTACTTTATAATCATTTCAATTGTTATACTAACCCTTTGATATAATCAATTGGATATAAATTATATTTACTGTTTTGTAAATTTATTTAGAAATCGAACTAATTAATAACTGATCCTTTAAGTAATATACTGATCGATCATTAAAATAACTAATGTCATAATTATTTCATTAACTCTCCATTTCATTAACTCTCCATTTCATTAACTCCCTATTTCATTAACTCCCCATTTCATTAACTCCCCATCTCATTCATTTTACTGATCGAAAACCATTTTCCTACTATGAATATGCTCTCGAAATGTTCTTCAGCTGTTAACTTACAAAAGAGTTTACATTTGAAGAAAAAGTTTAAAGATTCAAATTACTTCTGTTCTATTCAATGTACAATTGGTTGAAAAAATTATATTTCATGAATATTGCACATTATTGCATTTATATTTAAAAGTTCCTCTTACAATGGCTACAACTGAAAGATCTTTTAGTGTTATAAATAAAATGAATAGATATTTAAGATTAATAATAGCATAATAACGTTTTAATCATGTTGTTATTTCTCATATTCACAAAGAAAAATTAGATTAATTGAATTTCAATCGCATCTGCTCTAATTTTATTTCAACAAGAAAACAAAATTTAAAAGCTTGTTTTGTTCATGAATAGTAATTTTTTTTAATTTATGATCCTTTTTATTTGCTTTAGCCAAGGTTTAAGCTTTGTTATGCTTTTGTTGATCACTTTTTAATAAACTTTCATACTACAATAAATTTTTTTTTTCATCAATTTATAGACATGGACATTGGTGAATGCTGAAATATCTTTTTAATGAAAATTACGATCAGAAACCTAAAACATTTCTTTTCATCTTTCATGTTATCTAGTCATTATTGTTTGAAAAGAAATTTTAAGTCTTCCATAAATTAGAGTTGTTCGACCGTCTATGCTAAGATTCTCGTATTAATCGACAAACTATCGCCAGTGAAGCGATAACGTTTTGTGTATTGTGTGTGAAGATGAAATAATAAGCCAAAGATAACAATTGCATTGTGCACATATTTACGAATATGTTTCTTTTATTTTATTTTGCTATTCACTGATTCAGACCTTGTTGTTTTTCTGCAGTAAATATGTTGAGAGAAGAAAAATAACGCCCAGATAAAAAAGAAAAGAGAGAGAGAGAATAAATTGCACACAATTTAGCTGAAAATAGCAGGGAAAGGCACATATTTACGAATATTCGATTTGCCCTTTATCCTTGTGTAATAAGCTGATTGGACAATATATGATAGAACAAGCAAAACAATGATCATATGCTTAGGGAAACGCAAAAAAGACAAAATTGCGCATGAGAATCTCTTCATATTATTTCACATATACGGATGAATGCACAAAAATAAGCTACATTTCGTGATATATATATAATCAACAGAATGCTTGTATTTTATGCATAAAACAACTTTGGTAGATTAGACTATTATTGTGGTTGTGTATACAGAAGATTTTCGACGAATACAACGAATAAATGTATGTATTTTGAAAGTGCTTTCTTTTCAGAAGGTGTTTTAAGGCATTGTTATCGAGCGACTTTTTATTTTGTCCAGTATCATCACTAACTCTGTGTAGTATTATTTTTGTATCATGATCATTATTTTCTTGATGATGCAAACTTTCTTAGATTCGTTGAGAACTGAATAATAGATACTGTCTACTGTAAAGCCACTATCCTTACAAAGCATCTATAGCAAGGATTGTCAATCTGGTTTTTAAATTCCAACATAGAAATACAATCATTGAGTATTGTATTCTTCTCAGATACTTTGTAACTTGCTAAGATTCCACTAAGTACTTGAATAAATACTAACATTCTATAATACTCAAAGCAGCTGTACTTTTTCTGCAAGTTAGTTAGCTGTAATATTTCACAAGTACTTGCTGAATAGCACTTTTTTGACATTCAAGCAAAGAGTTTGTTTCTTACTTGAGTGCTTACCAAAAATGACGCGTATTGTGGACATTATCTGTGGAAGCACTTGCTCATATACTCGACACAAACCCATCATCTAGTGTTCCAACAATCAATTAGAGCCATTTGTATTCAAAATAATGTTTTAGATTCTATTTATTTGATTTAGATAAAAGAACAAAAAAAATGATGCAACTAGTATTCATGATCTTGCTTCTGCCAATCGTAAGCAGTACTTACAGCAACCGGAATCGATGTAGCGGCAATGTTGTTGGACTGTATAAACTGAAAATAAGCTATCCCGATCACACTGCCTGTGAATTTATTGCGTTTAACAGTGACAACACAGTTAACATGATTGACAGTACACAAAATAGTTTGGGTGCAAATAGTCAAACCACAGCTCTAAAGTTTACTTCCTCGTTAGGAAACTGGAAATGTGTTGGAAGAAATCAAATTGCGGTGCAAATTGTTAATATTAATCTTCCGGAGCCTGGTAGTAATGATGAAGGTTCATACACTATTGCTGATTACGCGTTGAGTATACCGAACAATTGTGAAACAGTGACAGGAACACGCGGATTCTCAAACTATGCGCTCGATACTGATCCAAATGATCCTCATAAAACACCACTTCCTGGACAATCATTCCCAAAATACCCAGCCAGTGGTCTAAAAGTCCATTTATTACAAAATAAATAGTTTGGTGAAAGGAGATCATCGACAGCTGGAAAACAAACTTTAAAACATTGTCATTTCTATTCTTTCTTTTTCTGCTCATTTTTTGCTCATTCTCTGCTCATTCTCTGCTCGTTCTCTGCTCATTTTCTGCTCATTTTCTGCCCATTTTATCTTCATAAATAAATAAATAAATAAATAAATAAATAAATAAATAAATAAATTCATTGAAGTGTTCTTACCAGAGACTGGCGGAATATAGGACGAATTACGTCCAACTATGTCGTGGAATGAGACAGAAAAATTTGCAAAAAGTTTTCGAAAAAATATCGATGGGATGGAGAATGCGATTAATCGTATTGCTAGTCTGCAGATGTGAAGCTTTCAATACTTTAAGAAGGCGCTCATCAGGGCACCAAGGAAACCGAAGCACAAGTTAGAATTTACAGATTTGATTTTTTTGTGCGTATTAGATAGATCTTCATCTGAAACAACAAAACTCAAATTTTATAGACATTTTAATTCTCTTCCTTTGATTATTTAATTGAATATTTTAATAAATTTTAACTTTTAATTTTTCACATTATTATTATAAAATCATGTGAGGTTTCGTTGCCGTAGGCAACTTCGTGAAACAAATTACAATAGATTTACAATACATAAAATAAACTATACATTTCTAACGGACTGTACATTTTACAATATATAATAAATAGAAAACAAAATACATGGTTATTTTTCTTCTTTTATTAACTTTAATAATGATACAGAAGAAGACAGTAAAAATAATAGATTGGATTGATGAATCATTTCCATATCATTATTACCGTCTTTTCCCACGAAAACCAGTTGTTGGTTTTTAAATGTAGATGTTTTTGGATTTTTTTTTGTAATTTATTATTTTGTTTTATATAAAATTGGATTCCAAGCTTCGATAAGATTGTCATATTTATTAATTGATTCATGTATTAAGGAATAGGTTATTTGTTTTAGTGTTTTTTTATTCGAATGATTCTTTTGTTCAACTAGAAAGACATGATCAATCTGAAAGAAACATTGGGGACGATTTGTTTTTGTGTTGAACCACTTCTGATTTATTATCAAGGTAATTGATCAATGTGAAATGTTATTTCTTTCGTTTCTTAATTCCTATTTTTGTTTCTCTATTATATGTCTTTGGTAGTTTACAATTATATTGAATTTGATAAAGAATTGATCGTGATGGAAATTTCATTGAATTGTTAAAATTCGATTAAATTTTATTTGGAGATAAAAAATAAATTTTAATTTTTAATTTTTCGAGTATTCATTTTGATACTTCAATTCGTGGAACATAATGTAAATCCATGATAAATTTACAAGTACTCTAAAAAGTATTCGGACACCGCCATGTTTTTTCGTATTTCTTGGTTTGCGAAGCAAAAACAAGACATAAACTTTTTTCTTTTGTCACGACTAGATAGTCCTTATTTCGGACTAGATTCTCTATGAAAATCAGCAATCTCGACTATCATCTTGAATTACAGGAACGTTTCTTATGAAAATATCCTATTTTTCAATATGTTAGTAGTTCGTTTCCTGCCATTAGAATTCTATTATTTGTACACTGCTAGAACTCGCTTTGCTTGTTCTATCTATTGGTATAATATTTCAGGGAAGAAAGGTAATTTTCGTAAGGTAAACTATTTGAAAAGAAACTAGATGTTTTGAACATGCGTAATAGCGCGGTGCGAGTAAAAGGTTAGAATGATTTTGTTTTTATCAAAATTAATTTTTCAAATATTCCTCTAGAAAGTCTGTCAAATGCTGCACAAAATTAGGTTTTTTTTAAAAGATATTTTCTACTAAAATACAAAGTCAGAAGAGGAGTATTGTATTTGAATACTGATGTTATATGTAGACTTTGAAAGTATACACGAGTATCTTCATGAAAAATGTTAGCGTAATGAATATATTTTACAGAGAACATGATAGAGAAAAAATTTCTCTACAAACTGATATATGTATGAATAATGTATCCTTTTCTTGTGAAGCTTTATTACGATTCGTTGAACACATTGCCTTAAGCAATAAATAAAAAAAGGTTTTTTTTTTCTTCTTGTTCTATATGATGATGTTTTTTTCTTTGAATATCAAGTGGAAACTGGAAAGTGTACCATGAAATAAGTATCAATCTAGTATTTTGTTGGTGCGCATTGTTGCTTGATGACTTCGCGAAGCCGACTAGAATAATTATCAACGGGTTTTTTACATTTGTGCTTCTGAATAGCTGTCCATTCATGGTGTGCTAAATTGTACAGTTCATCAAGATCCTTTGGATTATGATTTAACATTTTATTTTGTAACAATGGCCAGAGGTACTCGATGGGATCTAAATCGGGAGATTGTGTGACCCAATCAAGTGTCTGTATCCCGACATATTCAAGTCACTCCACAAGAACTTTTGAGTAGTGCTTTGGATGAAAATCATGTGGAAAAATCATTTATTTCATTTTCAATTTCTTCGCAGAAGTGATAAAGGGTGAGCCAAAAGTCTTGGTCGTTCTGAGAAAAATTGTTCGTTCTTCCGTATAGTAAACCCAAAAATGCTCAAACTTTGGTATCTCATTCCTTGTAAGTAGGTGAACGTTACCCCAAAGTTTCATGTTTCTATCCCTTATTATAAGAGAGATACACAGGGTAACATTCTAGAAATTTTTTTTCCCATCTCCCAAAAAAAATAGTTGGCGCATAATACATGTAGATTGACCATTTTTCTGTTTCAATTTTTCACCATTTAATACGTTCTATTAGGAAAACAAAATATACCACAAGATGCAGCGTGAAAAGCTCTACAATCCACACAGCAAAGTGTATTCTAAATGTGTAATTTTTGTTGTCAAAAAAAGCGAAACTATGTACGATTAATTTTTGCCATTGCAAAAATCTGATCGCGCAAAATTTCGCTGTTTTTGACAACAAAAATTACACATCTAGAATACACTTTGCTGTGTAGATTGTAGAGCTTTTCACGCTTCATCTTGTGGTATATTCTGCTTTCTCTTAAAAAAGTGTATTTGGTGACGAGGAGGTGGAAAGAAAACGTATTTTTCGTTCGTATAGGAAAAAACGACTTTTTTTACAACGGTCAAAATTGATTGCATAGAGTTTTGATTCTTTTAAAACAAAAATTATATAATTAAAATACGCTTTATTGTGTAGATTGTAGAGCTTTTCACGCTGCATCTTGTGGTATATTTTGTTTTCCTAATAGAACGTATTAAACGGTGGAAAAGTAAAATACAAAAGTGGCCCATCGCCAACCATATTTTGGGACATGAGAAAAATATTTTCTAGAATATTACCCTATGTATCTCTCTTATAATAAGGGATAGAAACATGAAACTTTGGGGTAACGTTCGCGTACTTACAAGGGATAAGACACCAACGGTTGAGCATTTTTGGGTTTACCATAAGGAAGAACGAACAATTTTTCTGAGAACGACCAAGACTTTTGGCTCACCCTTTAAGATTGATTTCGAGAATTTTCCGATACTATAGTAAAGTGAGAAATAATTAGATATTGAAAAGGAAAATAACATAATGTTTACCGTATATCCATCCATATTATGTTCGATTCTCACCAAATTCCCTACATCATTGGAGCTATAACAGCCCTACACTATAATTGATAGGCTATGCTGAACTACAGAATCAATACAATCATCGGTCCAAGTTTCATTTGTATGACACCAACTCTATTGACGATCTTTTGAAGAAAAAAGAGAAAATTTCTTTTGATCTGTCCACATTAACTTATCCTAATACATATCTGCTTTTGATTTCTGTTCTTGAGCATATCGTAAATGCTTGACTTACACTCTAAGATAGTGAATAAAGAACATCTCAATGAATTCAAACAGTAAATATTGCTCTTCTTTTTACTATTCTAATTCTAGTGCTAGTTTTTATTCTCACTATTCCTTGCATGTTCTCCGTTAGGAACACCAAGTTTTTTGAAAGAAAAGAAATAAATATTTGTTCATAATTCCAATGTGAATGTACATCATCATCACGTTTCCTTCCTCTAACAGTTAAGAACAAGTACAACAAATAGTTTTTCTCTAAGAAAAATGAATAACTACAAAACACACTCTCTTCTTCATGATAGACTACTTTTGAAGCGTATATTCTGCACTTATTTACGGAGGTACAGCCTGATTCATCTTAACTGCTTAATCACTTACACGATATAGTGTTTCATTTCTACAAATACTATTGTCATCTATTAGTATTATGTATAGGTTTTAAAGACGAGAATTAGAAACAACTTTTATAGTTACTAAAGTATACAGAGCAGCAATAGAGAAAGAAAAACGCTTATTCATATAATTATGAATGTACTAAGTAAATGAACTCTATTCCCGTCTATAAAAACAGAATAAAAAGTCTTTATATCCGTTATGATCTCTCCTAGTGAATTCTTTTACGAACTCCCTGTCAATGTCATTCCATTCTTCCCGGTTCTTTCCTGTAAAAAATACTCTTAGACATACATTTCAAACATCCGACCTTGTTCATTACGATCTCCGGATGTTGTATGAGATACACAGAAGGAACATTCTATTCTGAACATCCGGTCCAACCATTCCGATTTCCCTGCTTTTCTATTGCGATCTCCCGTACACAAACATTTACGAACTACTGTTATACATCTTTAAGAACAAAAAATCATTTTCGAACACCCGGGCACATGTCAAGAGTTCGGAATGGGATGAGACGAAAAGTACGTCATCCCGTTTACCTGCTATGATAATTTTCTAATATCGCATGAGATTGATAAAATGAAATATTGTAGTATAGCTGTGTTTTGCGCTGCAGTCTTTGCTACTCTATGTGAACATTGACGGAATGCTTTCAGGTTTTTGATATTTCAGAGGCAATGATTTTTCGTATGCTTTCATCTAACACAACAAGATCTTGTATCTTATTTTTTTTACCTGAGGTCTAATCTGGCATTCTCTTTCTCACTATTCACGCCATGT